CAAGCGGGGATGCTCAATCGGCCTGCCTGGTCGTCCCCCCCGGGGGAGAGCGGCGACCTCCAGTCGAGAACATACCCCCTCAGTGGGGGGGGGGGGAGAGGGGGACAAGGACCGAAGGACCGCGACGGGGGCTGGTGCGCACGGCCGTCCACCCGCTGCCATGGGGGGATGTCTCCCCCGCCGCACCCGCGCCCCCCGCCTCGAACAATCGGGCGGGCGGGTCGGACAGAGACAAGGCCAAGGTGCTGCCCACATGATGCCCGGCGGTGATCGGGCCGAGGTGAACCCCCCACACTCGCGCCTGCGGTCGCGCCCCGTAAATGGGCCACGGGCATGACCGGGCTACCATCCGGAATGAGCTTCATCATCCCCCTCTTCACCCCTCCTCCTCCCTCCCTGCACCGCCACCCCCCCCCCCTCCGCCAGTGTACTCCTCCCCCCCTGAGTGTGTGCCCTCTCTCCATCCCCCTCCTCGCGCACCCACACACACACCATGTCAATCGGAACCCCCACCGCCGCCCTTCGGCGCCTCATGACCGAGTATCGAGGTGCGTCCTGGCCTGGCTCCATTTGTGCCTCCCCTGCTCTTCCTTTGCCCCAGGGCCTGGGTGCCCCCCCCCTCCCCCCAGATCCGCCGTATGCTGCATATTGCTCATACCGCTGCTTGTTCCCCCCCCTCACCTTTCTGTTGTGTTCTCTCCCCCCCCCCCCCTCTCCACCCCTGCTCCTCGCGCAGATCTGACCATCCACCCCCCTCCGGGCATCACGGCCGGACCGGTGGACGAGAGTAATTTCTTCGAGTGGGAGGCCATTATTTCGTGCGTGCCCCCCCCCCCCCCCGCCGGACAAATCCGAACTTCTCGCCCTTCTGAAACATGTGTCCTGCTTCCCTGTCCATTCGTGCGCACCCCTTTCACCAGACTAACCACATGCTATGCCGGCCCCTCCGTGACACTCTCCTTTTGCCAATGGCCCTGGCGGCGATAGCGGCCCCGCTGGCACTCCCTTTGAGGGCGGCCTGTTTACCGCCACTCTGACCTTCCCCAGCGACTACCCGCTGAGTCCACCGAAGATGCGCTTCACCGGCGAGATGTTCCACCCAAATGGTATCGTGCTTTTTCCCCCCCCCCTACTGTGCAACATAGCGCCTTTCCCCTCTGCTTGCCCCCTCCTCCTCCCGCCCTCCTCTCCCCCCCCCCCTCCCCTCCCTGTGTCCCATTCCCAATGTCCCGCCCGCCCTTTGTCTGCTTCTGACCGCCCACACGCGTAATTCCACATGATATCCCCCTCGGCCTCCCCGCGCTGATTCCGCCGTCGAAACTTGGATCGCAGTCTACTCCGATGGCCGGGTGTGCATTTCCATCCTCCATCCCCCTGGTGATGATCCTCACAATTATGAGCAGAGGTGCGCACCCCTTTCCGTCCTCCCCCTCCCTCCCTCCCTCCCGCGCGCCGGCACACTTGCCCCATAGCTACCTTCGGCCTGACCCATGGATGTTCACTAGCTCCGAGCGCTGGTCGCCCGTCCAATCCGTCGAGAAGATTCTCCTGAGTGTGCTCAGCATGCTGGCCGAGCCGAATGATGAGAGCAGTGCCAATGTCGATGCCGCTGTACGTCGTATCCCCGTCTCCCATCGTGAGGCTGTTGCTTGTTGATTGTTGCCGGCATTTCCTTTTCGATGAAACCTCGCCGTCCCCCCCCGCGCCCCTCCCTGCTAACCACAAGGTGCTGTGCCCTTTCGGCTACCCCCTCCCCACCTCCCATCCTCCTGTGCATGGGCGTGCATGCGCACCCGCAGAAGGTCTGGCGCTCCAGCCGCGAGGAGTATGACAGCCGTATTCGCGCCATTGCCCGGCGTAGTCTCGGCTTCTGAGTGGGGGGCTTTGTTGCGCAGCGAGCGTGCATGCGTTCCCCCGCCTCGCCCCCCCCCCTCTCTCTCCCTTTCTCCTTTTTTTGTGGCATATACACGAAAACACCGAAGAGGGGCCTATGTGCCCACTCCTTTGCTCTCCCCCTCTCTCCCTCTCTCTCTCTGTCTCCCCAAAGCCACGCAGTGTGTCTCTTGTCCCCAAACCCCCGCAATAAAGCTGAGCAGCAGCACTCGCTGTATGTCCCCATAAAAAAAATGCCGCAATACAAAAGCCACTTTCCCTCGCCCCATGCATTGCTACGTAGCAAATACACAGCAGGAAAGGAAGGTCGAGGGTAGAGAGACAGTGGAATCTAGACGGGGGGAGGGGGTGCATTGCGCATGGGGAAAAGGCAAAGGGAGCACATGCAAATGCTCCAATGAGGAAATTAAACACAAGGACCGGTGGAGAGGGGGAGAGGGAGAACAAAAGGAAGAGGGAGGGACAAAAGTGAGGGATGGAGGGAGACATTAAATGCACGCACGCGCGCACTCACCAACTGACTCACCCATCTGCACACCCACACTCACCCTACCTACAAGAGGGCTTAAAACATGGCCGACGCATAGGCCGAGCACTTCCCGATAAAGACCTCCGGGTAAGAGCGCCACTCATGGAAGTAGGTGAGAATCTCGGCATCACCGCGGGTGGCTAGCTCGAGAACGCGCTGCTGGATCTGCGGCGACGGCCAGGGGCTGATTTGATAGATGAAGTTGACACAATCGCCCGGGTGGAAGCCGGCGCCCGGATGGAAGCCCACACCCGGGGGCATGGTCGGCGATCCGGGCATCATGTGGTGCTGAGGGGAGAATGCCATGGCGTGCTGCTGCTGCTGCTGCTGCTGCTGCTGCTGCATGTGGTGGTGCTGCTGCTGCATGTGGTGAGGTGCCTGGCCAGGCATCATCGGGTGCCCCATTCCCCCGATGGGAGGCGGCACCTGCTGCATGTGGTGGTGTTGCTGCTGCTGCTGCTGCTGCTGTTGCATGTGATGCATCTGAGAGTGACCGCCAATGGACTGGGGCGAGGGATGTTGTGGGTGCTGCGGCTGCAATGGTGGCGGGAAGCTCCCAGCCATACCGCCGGGAGACATGGGCATCTGTGACAAAGACGGCTGCTGCTGCTGCTGCTGTTGCTGCTGCTGCTGATGCGACAAGGGGAGCGACCCAGCCATTGATGGGGGGAGAGCCGGGCCACCAGAGCCACCGGACCCGGCCAGGGCCGGTGGCGGGAGAACCGGCGATCCGGGAGTCCCAGCAATGGCGGCCGGCAGGGCGGCCGTGGCCACGGGCAGCGGGGCCGGGATGCCGAGCCCCGAGTGCCGCGGCGAAGCAAGCTGCGGCGTGCCGGGGATCGACCCGACCGGTGGCGTCACCGGCAGCGGGAGGGCCGGCTGGCCGGGGTGGTTGGGGTGGCCGGGATGGTGCGAGGGCGCGTGGTGCGGCGCCAGGGAAGGGGGAACTGGCGCCGTGGCCGTCAGGGGGGTGGGAAGATTTGAAGCAGTATGCGAGCCTGGACCGAGGTTCAGGGTGCTGATGTTGGGCAAGCCGCCGCCACCACCACCGGCGGTGCTCGGGCTACCGGGGGCCGTGGAGAGAGGAGGCGATCCCAGGGCCGAGGGCAGGGCGGCCGGGGGAGGAGCCGTCCCCATGCTGGGGGTTCCACCACCACCACCACCGGGAGTGCCACCGGTGCCGGTGCCATTGACGTTGAGAGGCACCGGCAGCGGCAAGCCCAGCGACGGCGAGGAAACCGAGGAGGACAGCGGGTGGGGCGGCGGGGGCCCTGCATGTCCGGAAGGCCCATGGTGCGTGCTGTGGCGCTGCACACCGGGGAACTGCCCCTGCTGAGGGCCGGTCGGGGTGGCCACCGGTCCAACGCGCACCGGCGCGCTAAATCCAATCCCCGCCTTGGCCAGGACCTGGTTGGTGGCCGAAAAGCCGATCGTCGACATGAGGTTGAACCAGACGTTGTTGAATTCCTCGGCCACGACGCGGACCACCTCTGGATCGTTGGAATAATCGCTGGATTGGGGACAGGCGGGGGGAAGGGGGGGGGGGGGCAGAAGGTGGGTCAGGACCGGAGGCTGGGCGTGTTGACACTGCGAACAATGAACACGGAAAGAGCGAGAGCCCGAAACAGAGACAGATAGGGAGAGGGGGAGAAACAAAAAGGAACGGGGAAAGGGGCCATGCGCACATGTAGTCCTCCTCGGCCCCATCGAAGGCGCCGTCGGTGGATGTGCCACCGGCCGGGGAGTTGGTGTCGAGCACTGGCCGGACCAGGGTCGTGCTAAGCGACGAGGAGGAGTTGGAGCTGCCAACTGCGAAGGGAGAAGAGGGCGACCCGCCGCCGGGGATGGCCATCGGGCTGGATGCGATGCTCTGTGTCGAGTCGTGGCGAATCATGGACCCATGCCGGCGGAAGGAGCTGTGCCGATTGAGACTGGCTGCGCCGCTGACCAGGGAAGAGCTCCGCCGGCCGAGGGACCCGCTCATGAAACTCCCATGGTCCGGGGAGAAGGTGCCTGGAGTGCCACCGCTACCGGCAGGCGAGTCGGCGAACTTGGCCTTGGCCGGGAAGGGGATCGGCACGGACCCGGGCGTGGGGGACCCACGGTCGTCGTGTTGCAAAATCGAGAGCTGCATCGCGACGCACTTGTAGTGAGCACCGTCGACGACGCAATCCTCTCCCAGCTGAATGATATCCCCATCGAAGATCTCGTGATGCTGGCTCTCATTGCCCTGAGGCGGGTGCGAGAGAGAGAGAGAGAGAGAGAGAGAGAGAGCGCGAGAGCGAGAGCGAGAGCGAGAGCGAGAGCGAGAGCGAGAGCGAGAGCGAGAGCGAGAGCGAAAGAGAGAGAGAGAGAGAGAGAGAGAGAGCGAGAGAGAGAGAGAGAGAGAGAGAGAGAGAGAGAGAGAGGGGGAGCGAGAGAGTTAGCCCGGCACGGGAGGGAAGAAGCGCAGATGGTTGGTGGGAGCGCGCGCGTACCATCTCGCTCAGGCGCAGGAGGTTGAGGCCAGTCCGGGCCGAGGTGAGGAAGGTGCCCGAAGAGGACCGGATGTCCTTGAGGAAGAGCTACACAGAGCGGAGGGAGGAAGAAGGGCACACGGGGCGGTGAGTCGAGCCGGAAAAGGGAGACCACAGACACGGCAGAGCGAAGGCCGAAAAGGGATGGGGTGAGGGAAGGACGTACGCGCATGCCAGAGCGCATGATGAACGCATGCCGCCGAGAGACGACCTTGCTGGAGAAACGAGGGACCTGGGGGCCGTCGTTGTGGTCAACAAGGCGACCGAGTTCGATATGCTGGCCATCCATCAACTGGAAGTGCTTGGTAACGAAGCTCTGGTTCACCGGGTGCAGCTGGACCGTGAGCACGTCGCTGCCGCTGGCGCCGGGGAAGCTCGGCGGCGGACGCGGTAGCGATGACGAAGAATGGCTTGCCATGGTGGGCTTTAAGAGAGGCGAAAAGGCCTGGGAGAGTTCTGTGTAAAAGTAGGCCGGTGGTAGAGAGCGAGCGGCGGGTGTCAGCACCGGTGTGCAAATGCACAGCATGGGATGGTGGAAATAGAAGCGACGGGGAGAAACAGCCGGGGCAACGTACGGGGCCGGCCGGGGGGGAGTTGAAGTGGGCGCTTCTCGCAAGGGAGGGTGAGGGGCGAGGGCCGGTGCGCCGCGGCAAATGCTGAGCAGGCAGGCAGAGGGAGAGGGGCAGGAGGAGGCGGGGGGAGGGCGTCGGAGGCGGCGGGGGGTGACGGGGCTGGCCGGTGGGTTGGGGATCTGCGTGAGTGCGCGGGCACGGGCGCCAGACACCAAAAACGGCAGTGAAGAACACACAGGAGGAGGAGGGGGAGGGGGGGGGGGCGTCAGCTTCGGGGTAGAAACCTGCGAACGACAACGGAGGGGCGCAGGAGCACAGAGGTGTCTCGGAAATGCAGGAGCGCGGCGTGTACCTGCTCTTTGGGTGGGGCCGGGCAAGAGCCGGAGGCGCAGCGGGAGCGCGCGAGCAGAGGAGGAGAGGGGGAGGGAAGGAGGCGGGCGCGCAGGAGGAGAACGGGAGGAAGGGGCGGAGGGGCAGAGGGGCGAGCCAGGGAGGGGGAGGAGCAAATGAGGGGGGGTGACCGGCACGGTGCAAGCGTCGCCCCGGGGGAGGGGGCTTTTTTCCGGCCACTGTTCCCCTCGGCTCCCGGCGCTCTCCTTGGCATGAGTGATTGGCGCGCGCGGTCGCGACCAGGAACTTGGCCACGGCAGACAAGCGCGGTTCCCTGGCGGGGGCGAGGGTCCCCTACCCGCGCCCCCCTCCCCCTGGGTATCGCCCGGCAGAGGGTGGGGGGCGGACGTGCATGTGTGCGTGTGCCCGCGCGCGCGCGCCAACGCCCCCCCCCCCCCCCCTCCCAGAGAGCGGCCCATGAGAAAACAACAACTTCACGCCGCGGGGGCGGGCCGGCGGCACTGTCGTCGTGGGCCTGGGGTCCGGGTAGGCTGTGCTTATAATATATATGGCCAAAAGGCGTGCCCGGGGGCGAAAAAAAAAACAAGCCGACCACCCCTCACCGACGGGGGGGGGGGCGAGGGGGCGCTGCAGGGCGGGCGGGGGCAGGAGCGGAGTCCTCTGATGCCGGACCCCCTTGCTTGTGCCAGCTGGACGGGGAGATCGCCTGGGCCCGTGCTTCACGCGCCTGCTTCTCCGGGCACCAGGCCCCGGGGGATGCCGGGACAGGGTGCACGAGAGGCCCGGGGGAGGGAGCGGGAGAGCAGGAGAGAGAGAGAGAGAGAGAGAGAAAAGCACGAAAGGCAGGGTCTCCCCACACGGGGCGATGGCCCCGAGTCGGAAGGGGCGTGGCCACGCCCGGCCCGCGCCCCCTCTGGCGCGTGTGAATATACCTGCCCCCCTGAAGAAGGAGGGAGATGACGGAGAGGGCGAGCAGCGGCGTGTACATGCTCGGGCCTGAGGGCCTCGGCGCGTCGGGCCAAAGGAGGTGTGGTGAAATGCAGGAGCGCCTGCACGCATGTGCGTCTCGAGGAAAAGACCCCTGCCCCCGGGTAGGGCCTGCAGGGGGACATCTGAGGCAACGCCGGTGCCCGGGGCCAGAGGGGCGGGGGCGGCAGGGCCAGGATTCCGCCAACAGGGGCCATCCCCCGGAAGGTACCTCGGCAGACGCATCCTTGCGGGTGGCGTGGCCGTCCGCGGCCTCCGGAGCGGATCGTGAGCGGACGGGGGGAAGGGGGGGGGAGGGGGGGTACGGGCACACAACCGGCACCAGGCCAGCGGGTTACCCCGTGCATGCCCCCCCTCCCCCCGCCCCCCAAAGACCTCGCCCTGCCTGACAAGGCGCATCTTCGTGGCGCGGACCTGCCGACCGCTCTCGACCCGCCCGCCCTCCCGCCCCCCCCCCCCCGCGGCGACAAAGGACCGCGGCCGGCGCCCTGG